TTGCTTGAATGTTAGGGCATTTACATGAAAAGCACTTTTGGACAAAAATCTCATCCTTTTTAAAACACATTTCTAAGATAAATGGATATATAATTGAAAGAAAGTTATTAACAGCCAACTGAAAATACTTAATTTTTGCAATGTTTCCAGATTTGGGTGTGCTGAGCTGGGGTTTTGCTTTGTGATGTGGAACAGTTGGTTGGACTGAAGCCAGCCTCTGAAAGCATCACTTTTATTTCCTTGATGCAAATCTGCTAGTCTGTTCCTTAAAATGGTGCTTAATTAACTATGATTTTTTTTTTTTTTTAATTTCCATGGAAGTGCAAGGGTGAATTTTTGTAAAATGGTATTTGCGACTGAAAATAAAAAGTCTTTATTTATGTGTGTTTACCTTCGTAGCTGTGTTCTACGGTCTGGACACGCTGACTGTCGTGGGCATTGCCTTTGCGGCATTTGTAATTGGAGCCCTGCTAACCGGAGCACTCTGGTTTATCTACTCTCACACAGGTAAGTGTGAGGGCTCTTACAGACCTCTGTGCAGATCATGCCGCAGGAAAGGCGGTGTGGTCTGAACTCCTGCAAGGTGGGAGGAAAGGGGAGGGGGGCCAGCAGTGGCCATCCTGGACTTCTTTCCTTGTTCTCTGTTCTTAGTAGGGTGTTTTCCAGCAACTGCTTACGTGAGCCTGTTGGTGCGTATCAGCAGATCGATACCCGCCCTTCCCTAAAGGGAGGTGTTACATGTTATGAACATGATTTAAAATTTGCTAAAATAATTTTAAATGCAAATCTTGAAAACTCACCTGGGACATGAGTAAAACTGAGTATTCCAGGCTTGTGCATTATTATTAGTAGCATCTCTGTATTTCAGATTTAGTTAACATTTCAGTTAATGGATCCCTTTTGGTTCCTGTACCTCCTTTTTAAATTTTTTTTTTTTTTTTGCAGTTACTAAATTAGGCTGATGTGACTGGGAATGTGATGTGATCAGTAAAAGGAGTGGGCCAAATGGCTAAGAGAATGCTTTAGTTACATAGATGTATTCTGAATGTAACCAGACTTGAAAATGTTTCTTGGGCCTTGATTACACAGAATTTTTGCCCCAATTATTTATTCCTCCATTCTTCAACTGTTACATGTAATTGGTGGAAGTCATGTGTAATCTCACTTAATTGTGTCCAACCAAATAACCAGGAATGTGCCTGAATTATGCAGCCTTTATGCATAGGTAATTATTGAGTATCTCCTGTATTGGAAGAAGAGGGGGTTTTGGGAGCTTTCTGCTGCATGTAATCTGTAAGGTGGTACAGACAAAGACTGGACACTGGGGCCTTGATTTGCAGCATCTGACCTTGGCTGCTTGTGGATTACGGGGTATCTCAGGATCCCTACAGCATGCTGGACTCCCAGCTACTTCTACTTTGGACCTCACAAGACTTTACCAAGATCTCTGGGAGCTGGGGAGAATGTGAGGTCAATTACCCCAAACCTGTGTGGCTCTGGAGCACTGCAATTCTGCTGTAGCCCACTGCAGGGTGTTCTGGGGATCTAAAACCTCATGGGAGCTTTTTAGAAGTGAGAATCTGTCCCTGTCAGGTCAGAGCTTCTGTAAATATTATGACCCAGGAGCTTATGTTAATTTAGGGAAAAAAAAAAGCCCTGTGTTTTTTTTTCCAGTTGGCAGTACAACAAATTTGTATAAGCAGTTTAATACTCTCAATGCATCAGCTGTGTATGAAGCTTGTTTGGAATTGAGGCAAATGTGGAAAATTTAAAGGTTGTGATAATATGTATAAATAATATAATCCTGCCTCATACACAAATGAAACATTGTGGAAGAAAAGTAAGTGCAAGTTCAATGAGTAAATGTGTAAGTTAAGGTAATTTCCAAACAGTAGCCTTCTAACAAAAGATTAAAACAATTGATAAATTAATATTGTTGGTCCTGCATCTGTGGCAATTCAATCTCCATTCTTATATAGAACCACTATAGATACATGTTGTGTGTCACATGTTGTGTGTCAGTAGTCAAGGAACACTGGGAAGCCAACATGATAAATCCTCCGGCAACAATAGGACTTGGATCAATCCCATTAAAAGAATTACATTAACAAATTACATCAGTCATAGTGACCACGTGCAAGTAGTGGAAAGGGCAGCTGCTCTGGCTTTGTGTTTGAGAGATGAAAATAAGGGAGAAAAAGGCCAGACAAAAAGTAATAAATGAGAAGAAAAGAAAGGAAGAGGACATTGTAACTCATCAGATCAGAGAATTACTGAAATTATAAAAAGTACCTAGGAAGTTATCTGGTTCAGATTTTCAAAGGATTGTGAAAGTGAACCTATGTTCCTGTGCACATAGTTGTTCTGTGCATATCTTGTATCTACAAAGCCCAGCTTGCAGCAGAGAGTGCAGTGAAGGTTGTAGCAGGGACAGCCTCTTAGAGGATGACTGCTGTGGCAGACAAGATAATCCTGCTGCGATGGAAATGTTTTAGAGCTGGCTGCAGGCTTTTACTAAAATCAGGAAAAAAAAATCTAAATTTCATCTACAGAGTGACTGTCTTTTGCCATTAGAGAATTGATGCATTATTGAATTGTGTTCTGAAATCTCATCTTTTGTTGCAAGTAGCACTGGGTTTCTAACACATGATTTAGACCAAAGGTTGTAAAATACGAGTTCACTCTGAAACTGTGTTTTGGTGATACTCAGAGGATGGACAAAAGCTACTGCTGATGGGGAATGGCAGCTTGGGATGTGTGGAGTAAGGTATTTTTGTTGCTGTAGCTCTATATGCCATACAGCAAAAGGTGACCTTTTTGCTACTAGTAAGAAGGTTTGCTGATACACTTGTACTGCTATGTCTCTACTGGCAGACTATTCTAGCATGGAGAAAGCTTTACATGAATGAGCTCTTTCATTCATCTTGGTAGGCCATTTACATTAAAACCTCAAACAATTGATAGCAGAAAAGAACTACAAAATAAGTAGAATTTCATCTCCAAGTATTGAACAAGGATTGTTTTGTTGAGTTTTTTTCATGTAGGGCTTTTGCTGATTTCAGTCATGAAAAATTTCTGCTAAAGCATAAAAGTATTCTGTGCTTCAGAATACTCTAGATTCTCTGAAACAATTCAACATGGAGTACAGATGTCCTGAGATAAACAGGTAGTAGGGGAAAAGAGAGCGGAAGCTAGGGTTATGGGAACAGAGGAGGAATTTTAGCCGATTTTTCTGCAAAAGGACTCCATACTTCTGATCCTTTCTCCAGTCAGTTAAAGGATGTGAAAGGTGGCTGAAAGCTTTCCACAGCGGTCTTGGTCCTGCCTGGAAAGGACCCAAGCAAACGGGGCAAGTAGCAGAGAGTTGCCACAATTAACCCAAGTTACCTGTTATGAAGAAGCAAAGGTTTTGTAGTGTGCATGGGTGCAGAAACCTTTTAAAATTTAACCATATAGGTATCTATCAATGTAACAGCTGTCCCAACAGGGGTAACTGACTATGTTCAGGAAGGGACATGCAGAAGTCTGATTAGGTAATGAGACTGCTAAACCAAGTAAACTGTGTTACAGAGAACATCAGTCGCTTTATTCTCTTAGAAAGCGTGCTTTTCTCCTCCAGGCAGTGTTGCAAGTTAAGAGGATAAAATGTTCCAAAATCTGAGAAGTTAAAAGTGTCCCTCCTCCCCCACTTCTCCCTTTTTTATGGGATCTGATTTAAAATAAACTGACATAGCAACCAATTATATTTGGCAAATGGAGATAGAAAAGCAAACATTCAGACTTCCTGGACAGGGAGTACAACTGGCAGCTTTCCTAAGTGTGAATAATAAAGTGCATGTTGTCGCAGTCAGATGGGTAAAAGCTTGTTTACTGTCAATAGATGAGACATGTCCGTTTTGAGCAGTTCTGGTTCAGTAACATGAGATACATGAAGCTGTTTACATGAAAAAGACAGATGGGGAATGCCCCTTCAGAGATAGTTGAGGTTTCTTTATGTCCTTTATATGAATATTCTTTAAAAAAACTTTGCTATAGATTAGCTAGGTGTTGAGGAAATAAAATGCAGGAAAAATCAGCCAGTCCAGATGTCGTTGCTAACCTGTGTTCCTAATGTCACTGTGATTTGGATTTTTTTCCGTGAGGACACTGAGAATTTGTTACTGTTCAGTGAGTGATTGTGCTGTATCAGAGCTGCTGATTGCGCTCGAGAAATGAGGTGCTGCAGAGGCAATTGAATTGCAGCAGAGGGAAGGGGGCTGCCATCCCAAACCGACGGGAAGTTGCCTCCTAAGAGGCTTTCCAGAGGAGCTGGGAGGAGTAGAGCGAGCTGTTGGGCTTGCGTGGGGACTCGGTCACTGCTCCTGTCACTTTGCCATAACATAAAAACAACATCTGTTTAGCTTATAAATGAATTTATGGTTAAACGCGTGCAGATTGTATTGACATGCCGAGGCTGACGCAAAGCTGTGTGCGATCATGTGGTTTGTAAAATGGGTGACAGCGGAGCGGGAGGGCGCGGGGGCCCGGCCGGGGGAGCGGGCGGCCGCCCTTCCTCTGCGCGGCTGTTGCGGCTTCTCCTGCTGCCGGGGGTCCGGCTTCGCTGGCTCGCTGCTTTCGGATGCCTGTGTTTGCTTGTTTTGTTGTAACGAAAGGGAGTTTGCTTATCGCTGCCTTTATAAATATATCCTGTAGTACAAAAGGAAGGAAGACTTGTACACAAACAACTGGAGGAGAAGGGAGCAAGTCGGGAGAGGAAAACATCCAAACAAGGCTTATGAAAGCTTTTACAGCTCCATGACACAGACATCGATTTTATACAGCTTATTCTGATGGGTTGCAAAGCTGTTTCCAATGCAAGTTAGAGCTGAAACACATTTTGTGGGCAGATGACCTGCTGCACATGAGCAGAAATCTGCCGCTCGTAGACAAGTTATGTAGTACTTTCTTACACTGGGAAAAAGAGAGTCAAAATCTGCTCACAAAAGTAAATGCTGGCCTTAGCGCTGAATTCAAGAGCGTGATCCTGACCCTCTTTTTAACCATTTCACTGGCCTCCTGGGCAATGTGGTTTAGTGGTTTAGTTTGTTGTTTTTCTGTCCTGTCCCGTCCCTCCTTTCCTCCCCATTCCACAACCAGTGGGGTGTAAGGCAAGAGCTGTGCGTTCTGGGGCCTTACGTGCACTTACAGCTGTGGCTGTGGCAAGAGATAGCATTTCTATTACAAAGAGCACTTGCAACCTCTGCTGTGAGAAATCCTCAGATCTCCCTTGTTTGTAGCAGACCTCTGAATACCAAGCAGCCTGCAGAAGGACATTTTCTGGCCCGAGACGCAAAGCGTTAAAGGCACGCTTCCTCCGCGGCTGCATTCCAGAGGAGCTGGGGGCTCTGGCAGCTGGGCAGCAGCACACGGGGCATGGGGATGTGCCAGAGCAGCTCCTGTGGGAGGAAGCTGGCTCGTCCCGGTGCTGTAACCCTCTGGATGCAGGCTGTGCCTCTGGCCTTCAACCTGTCACTGAAGCAATCGCTGGGAAACGGGAGCTCTACCAAATCCTGAGCAGGGCCGAAAAATTGGCCCCAGCAGACCTGGCCTGTGGCGTCAGGTTTCGGATGACCTCGGGCAATGTGAAGCAGGAGATCTGCACTGTGTAAGCTCGTGAGGCAGGAGGTGTACCAGCCTTTGATGTTCCCCAGTCGTTCCTGCCCACGATCCGGCAAAACATTTCCGTCTTGCTCCTTTGCTGGGAGAGCAGGCGTGCTGGTGCTGGCTGCCACGTTGGGTCTGCAGCTCAAGCAGCAGCAGTCTGCCTGTGTTACCGTGCTGAGATCAGAGGTTCACATCCTGAGAGAGGAGCTCAAGGGAGGAGGCAGCTACACTGCACGTTATATAAACCTAGTCCTGCCATCTCGGAAGAGACTATTTTGTAATATTACTAAGGTTGCGGATTTGGGTGCTGTAACTTAAAAATTTGCCACAGTTAAGTTTCCTACATGGTCTCAATGTGATCTTTTGGGCATTCACATAATGATGCCATTTTTACTTCCATGCTAGTTGAGAGCTGGATTTTTTCCATAGGAACCCAGCCCACAGGTGCAGAAGGGGTGTGAGGAGAGCAGACAAAAATCTAGGTTTTATCAGGAGCCATAAGTCTGGCTTTAACTCCTGAGTGCTTGATTTGGCAATCCAAATAGCAAAGGGCTTTTAATTTATCATTCGTAAACAATTAACAAGAAACTGTAAGTCTTGTTCTCACTACAGGTTATAAGTGCTACACATACTGCGGTAGCTATAGGGGAACTTCTTGCATGTTGTATTCTGAGTAAATCAAGTCAAGCTTGCAGGGTGGCCTGTTGTTTTTCTACACGAAAAAAAACTGGCTATGTCTCAGGATATGTGGTATCCAGCTGACTGAAGAACATTGTCTTCAGCTCCACTTTTAGTAAATATGCTGTCCCATAAACTGGCATTTAAACTAAAGCCTACATTTTATTTGCTTTTTTCCATGAAAACAGCAAAGCTATAAAGGGGTCTGTCATTTAACGGGACCCATGTGAGTGACAGCTGACAACAGAAGATGGACAGTGTCTATCTTGGCTGTATCCATCAGCTGCTTTTAAAATATGTAAAAAAATAGCAGCATTATTTTCCCCATGTGCATAGCAATGCTAAGGTGCCAAAGTCTAGTAGCACTTTTTAACAGTGCTCTGTTTGAGGTCTGTCGCCCAAGACGTTCATTGCATGGAAATACAGGCCACCAGCAGAGGAAGACTGGGAACGAATGGGTTATTGCTTTCTGTGACGACTAACATTTTCAATTTCCCTTCTCCCAACCCCCCTTTTTCTCTCCCCTTTCCCTCAGGGGAAACAGCGGGAAGACAGCAGGTCCCCACGTCCCCACCAGCCTCGGAGAACAGCAGTGCAGCGCACAGCATTGGCAGCACGCAGAGCACCCCGTGTTCTAGCAGCAGTGCAACCTAGCTCCCAGGGAAGGCGGCTGAGGAGCAGCATAGGAGTGTAGAGGTTCAACGGACTGTGTGTGGACACAAGCTTTTTAAAGTTGAAAGGATTGGTTTGGTTGCCTTTGAAAAAAATGAGGAGGGATTTTTCTACAGGAAAAAAAAAAAAAAGGACTGATTTTCTTTTGGGGAAGCCACTGTGTGTGTGAGTGTGTCTATGTGCACACAATGCATGGGTAAACGCAGCCTGTTGGATCTTCTATGGCATGTTGTGCTACATGTGACAAAGCTACTCATTTTACAGTACTGCAACCTGTTCTAGAGGTCCATGGGCCCTCAATGTGAAATCTATGCCAGTTTGGAGAAATGCTGCTTTGTCTATACGACTTCTTTCTTGCCCTAAACCTTCTCATTGACACAAGGTATTCATTAAGGGAATTCAACAAGATAAGCAGAACAAAAATGGTCTTGGGTCAAAGGATTTCTATTTGTCTAAGCAAGAAAGCCTTAAGGTCAGATCTCTTTGGTTAATAACATTTTATTACTTCAGCTATGTTTATCCACTTTTGAGTAACTAACCTTTGTTTTGTTAAGCTTACAGCTACAGCATCTCATTTGCTTTCCTGTTGTGTTTGCAGCTTCAGGTTTGTTCCAGGTATTTTTGTTTTAATATGCATTGATTTGCTAATTGGAGAAGAGCACACTGTAACATTCCCTTTCTTGTTCTCTGGGCCAAAGCTCTTTACTAAGAGATTTTTTTTTTAATCTGCTATACCAAATACAGGCACACACAAAAGTTAAGACAAATAATGTTCATGTGCACTAATGTAGATGTGTGTCTACCTTTAATGGCAGTGTCTTTATGCAAACAGATGTATACCTAAGTATACAGAGCCTAACTTACCACTTTAACAACTGGGAAATTAGCTCAGTGTTTCTTGCGTACATAAAGTATATAATGCATATATATATATATATAAAAAAAAATAAAAACCCTGTCTCATCAGTTTATAATAGGCAGATAAAGATAAAAAAGCTGATTTGGTTCTAATCCTTTAGCTAGCCCAAATTTCCTTTCAAATAAGAGATGGTTTTGAGGGCATAAAGAATGTACAGTAGAGCCTATTGTTTGTGCAGAATACTGCCTATCAGAATGAAGCTATTCTCTTAAGATAGTTGTGCAGTTGTTTGTGCCAACCTGTTGTATGAACATTGCAATTGGACAGTCCCAAAGTAGTGTCAGAGCATGGGAATGGCAGGAAGGTACTAATTGTCATGGTATTTTTTTAGTGTCGTTGCCATATCTTGACCTTCAAATCGATGCCAAATTAGAAGAAAAAAGACACTTTTAATGTGTAACTGTTTGACTGTTATGTTGCCACTTTGTAAATGTAATGCATTCTACTGATCCTTCTCCTTGGAGGAAAAATGAGCATTGTTTTCCTCTAAAACTGAGATGTGTAACTTTAATTTTAGTGAAGGTTACCTGTGTTCTGCAAGAGGAGAAAGGAATTCATTACACTAGAGTGATAGTCTGCTCTGAAGTCTGAGCTGCAGATTTCTTTTGCTGATTCTACACTTATGCCTTGCTGATGCCAGGATGGTCAAAGTGCAAGATATGCAATAAGATGTAAGTGCCCAGGATCAGGTGGAATATTACTCACATTAAATAAAATCTGTTACTAATCCTGCAAACATTTATGCATGTGAGTAACTACGTGCCTCGTCCTTGCTCGTACAAGAACATGCTCCACTCCACACATTATGGCTATTCTCAGAGGCCATGGAGATAGTTGGTGTGTAGAGTTACACATATGAAAAGTGTTTTCTGCTACCAGGCCAGTGAGTAGTCCTGGTAACATCAACAGGATTGTCACGGAAGCGTAGTTATTGTCATGCGTAAGGGTGTGCAGGATTGGCTGTTACGAGGTGTCGGGAGGATGAATGTGCTACCTGTGTGGTTGAAAAGAAAGCGCTTTGCCTAACCTTCAGCAGAATGTATTGTATAAGCATATTCTATATGTAAAGTCTTTAAAGATGTCTTCAAAGAAGACTAGAGTCTTTTAACTTCAATCATAGCTATATTTTACTACATTAAATCTCTGTATAAAGATATATTTAAATGTTTTAGATAAATGTAAGTTACTCTATATGAAATGTTTAATTTCAATTACTGTGAAATTTACATATTTTGTAAATTCTTTTTCCTGTTTTAAGCCTTTCCTTCCTCAGATACTTTATGAAGTAGTTTCTCAAAGAAAGTATTAGATTTGGTTGTTGGGATGGACAGGTTGAAAACTTTTCTGTAAAATAGATAATTGTATATTTTTGAGAGAAACATGCTGCATTGTCAATGTTTTTTATCAAAATTTTCCTATAATTTTTAAGTAATTTACAGATTTATATTTACCGTTGGATAAACCAAAAATATGTAGAGATCAAAGATTCGATTTGTTGACTTGTATTTGAAATACAGTTTAAGTTAATTCACTGAACTTGGTGTACTCAGCTATTTAATTCAGAAATTTTAATCAATCTGAATTAATTGTCTGTTGGAGGTTACGAAAACTACATATAATTTCTCAGCAGATGGAACAGCCATTTCTGCTTCAAGGGAGAGGGAGAGAGAGAACCAAACCTGGGCATTCCCAGTTAATAGCTTTATTACAAAAATGTATAGTACTTTCCAGCAGGTGTTAAGCTGCCTGCAGTTCAGAGTACTGATACACCTATAAGCTCTACTTTTATAGCAGCCGTTCGTCTCTACTGCAAGTTGCTGTGTGTGGTGTGGTGAGCTCCCGAATGTGTAACCGCAAAGCCACTGGTTCCCACCTCTGTTAAACCTGGTCTCACCGTGCTGGACTTCACATGGCCAGATACCCGTGGGGTGTGGAAGGCCAGCGAGACAGCCCTGTCCCTGCGCTGGGCTCTAAGGCAGGTCTTCGGAGGGACAGGCTCGGTGGTAAATTTCAGCATGAGGGAATCGACTGTGAAGGAACTTCTTATGTAAGAAGGGGAGGATTGGGCTTAAAAGGGACACCTTCTGTCTGTAAAAGCTATTAGTAATGTACTTAAACTCTGAAGTAGACTGCTCGTTGTGTCATGCGTCGTCTAATCACTAACTCTAACCCTTTACAGCATTTGGTTTTGAACATTACTATATTCATGTTTCAAGAAGTCAGATCTTTCTGTGTTAGGCTATTTTTGTAGCATTTTCCACATGGAAATGGATTTTGCAAAATGTCTGTAGATGTTGATGATTGTAACTCTCCCCCTGCCCTTCTCTAACCATTTCTCCTATATGTACCGTTCTGTTATGTATATCTACCTCATGCCTCGCAAGAAGACTGTACTGTTGGTTGTGCTGACAGCCCTTCATGTGAGGTGACTGTTCTGCCCTGTTGTCGTTTGTCATTCATGGGGATGTTTGTAGCGTTATCGGATCTTCGCTGCCATGTTCCTACCGGTTCCAAATGCAAGTCTTACCTTCAAATAAGTAAATTTCTTTAAGACCTAAATGCCAGATGTTTTTTTAAATCGAAGAATGGGAGAGATTTACTTGCTAATACCTGTGGCCAGTCTGAACACCCCAGTAGTATTTCATATTGTGTTCAGTATTTCAGAGACTCATGGAAATGCATAGTTGTACAGTTTTTATAACCACAGTGTCATGTCATCTTAGTCTCTTGTGCGTAATAAAAAATATATCAATTTATTAATAATTGATGCCGTGATTCACTTATTGAAGTTGTACAAAGCCAACAGCAGTAGATCAAGTTCTGTCTCACTGCCATGTCTTCATCTCCTCTAAACTTCAGTGGGAATTGTGTGTGTTCTGGCATGATCTGATTTTGTGTGACCACCTTGATTTCTCCTTTCTGTGTTCTTTTGTCCATTGGTTTTGGCTGGCTTCTCAATATCATGGCTTCTCACAGACACCAGTAGATATATTTAGTTAATTGCTGCTGTCCTTGACACAGCCTCAGTCCCATGCTGCACAAAGCTTGGCTTGAGCATAGTCAAGCCTAAGGGTCTGCTGTCAGTCCTCTAGCTGAAGCAGCAGAGCCCCCTTGGGCTGTTGTACCCTTGACTTGCAAGTACACTGGAGACGCGTGAGCAAGGCTGAGATGTGTTTTCATTACTGAAGGGTCTTCCTGTGCTAGAGCAGATAGCTTGGCCATGTATCAGCAGGGCAAGGATTTGGGTGTTTACTATCCTGCTTATTGCTTTGTTTCCTGTATTTCATGTGCAAAATATTCTTTATGGGCACTCTGGGGGAGCCAGCGTCAGTGGTATTTCCCTGGGTTATTCAAAGGTTATGGTTATTAACTCACAAAAGAGTTCCCTAAGAAAGGGGTCTAAAATGTTTAATGATCACGTTTAAATATCAAGATTCCTTCGGTACAGAAAAGGCTAGTAATTAGAAGCAATTGGGAGCTTTCCTGTTGCCTGTGACTTACAACTCACAGAGGTGCAATAGATCTATTGCTTCATAACAACCATATTTCAGTTTCTGCATTAAGACAATTTTCTTTCCTTGGGAAATGAGCTCCATAGAGCTGACTCTCAGCATAAAGATACTAGACCTGTTCTACACCTTCACCTTTAAGATTTGTATTTTGACTGAAATGTGCTGTGAAAGCATGATCAGTGTCTCATAATTTTAAAATGCAATTACTAGCCAACAAATTGTGATGTATTTGCGAGAGTATTTTTAGACATTAAAAAGTAAGAGTCTTACCATGTTACAGACTAAGCATTAATGTTGTGTGTGTTTGTTTCTGTCAAGCATTTGTGAGTGAAGGGAGCATTTTGGAGAGTCAAAAAATACCAAGTGCCCGTTTCTGGAAAAACATAGTCCAGAGGCGTTCTAATTTAGACAGAATTAAATTTATCACAGCATTCCCTCCAAGACAATATAAAAGGAAAAGGAGCCAATATTTTGATAAATTTTCACAGCTGTCACTTTGTAATTGTAAAGCAGATATTTATGAGGCTGGAAGTCTGTTTGCAGCTTGTTTTTTGTACTGTATTCCCAGATCTCTGGCCCTAGACCTGGCCTTGTGAACCTGTGTGCATTTACACTATTTGAATTCTTTGCATAAGAAAAGATGAAATTACATCACTTCACCTACCCAAAGAAGGTTATGGCTTAAATTGCATTTTTGCAATCTCTCATTTCCTAGAAGCCTTCAGGGACTCACTGCAACGTGTCCAGAAGATGATGTGCACCGAGGTGGCTCCAGGCCTGCTGTGCAGCCAGTCTCGCCTGCCTGGCATCTAGTTCTGTGCTCCGCTGCACTTTTACTGTGTTTAGGAAAAGTAGAGAGAGGCGTTGGTTTACAGATAGCTGAGGAGGAAAAGCAGCACAGAAGTGTTAGTCTTGCAGTTTTTTAAAATGACAGATTTTTTTTCCATCCAATTATTTTGGCACATATATCTGAAAAATTGGTTAAAAAATATTTGGGTGGAGTCTCTTTTTTGCTCTGCTGTTACTGCAGCTCGTAAACCGCCAGCTCTACTAAAGAACATGCTGTACTGACAAAAAATTAAATCAGTATTTTAAAAATCAGAATGTTGAGTCTTAAGCAGAGAAAGCTGATGGTATTTAAAGACGCTTTAAGTGGCTCGGCAAACTCACTCTGGTTTTTGTCAGCCATGTAAATTTTTTATGGTATGCCTGCTAAAATCAAAGTACAAACCCTGCAAGCGGCTG